ACTGCAATTAAGAGCCTTAGAAACAGAGGAGCATCGCTGTACCTTCCCTTATTGGACAACTTCCCCATCTTCACCTGAGCAGATTTGGACGAGCTCTCAGCTCTATTTGGCTGCCACCTTACTTGTCTTCTCTGCTGATCCAATTCATCCCATCCTCCAAAACTCGGCCGCTCTGAATCCTTCCCCCTGAAATCATCTGAGCCGTTCTCTGCCGCAACCCATGACTGATAGGCTGCCTTTCTCTTGTTCTTAACACTACTTTCATCCTGCTCTTCCTTTCTGTAATCAGTTGAAGAGGTGGAAAATGGCTTCCTCCTGATTCTGGGACTAGTCCCTGGCTCTTCCTTCGCGCCGCCCCATAGCTTGTCAATTGCAAGGGATATTGCTGATTGTCCCAAAGGCAGTGCTAATGCCATCAGGAAAGCTTTTGGACCTGTTGCAAGAAGCATTGATGCAATGATGGCAGGGAGTAGGTAGCCATATGACTTAAAAACCTGTAATTTAGGCACCAAGACCAACCGCTTCAGCAGAATTGTTTTAGTTATCATATTTTGTTAACGTTCATATGTTCATAGAAGAATAGCTGAACTTAAGGATTCTGTAAAGAAAAAGCATGGGCGAGTAAGTGCAATTAACAATACTAATACCACAACAACAACATCAAGCCTTTGTCCCACTACGTGGGGTCGACTACATGAATCCTTTTTTGACATTGTGTCCGGTTAATTTTTTAAAAGATTCGTGTCATGATTATTCGACAAGTTTTACGCTGACTGTCGACTACCTAACGCAACCCTCCATTTTTCTCATTCAAGATTTGGAACCTGACAACGGCAGTATTAGTTTGCAATTAACAATACTAATAAACATATGAATTCAAGGCAAGGCAAAGAGGTTTAAATTTGTGGTGGGGTTGCAGGTTTTGATGTATTTCCAAGCTTAAAGTATATATGAAGTCATTCTCTGATTCTTGCGTGTGTAATATAACGCCTTTGCTGCTTACAATCACAATATAGACACCTAAAACCTATCTTAATTTTCCAAATGCACATTCAAAAACTATACCATTTATAATCAGTTAACGAGTTGCATGTACCATTAAAAAACGGAGATGCAGGAACTTAGGAAGAAAATGTCATCACATTGAAGCCAGACATTTCATGAAACCATACATACTCGACTCACTATCACCAAACATTCATCAATAAAGATTAGGTAAAATAAATGCCACAGGAAAACATGACAAAACGCTTTGATATGCACCTAGAGCCTTCAAGGCTAGATGTCATACATTTTGCATATTTTATTTGGTAAAGAGGCTATACTGAAATAGACCAAAACAAAAGCATCTCAATATTTGTATAATCATATTTTAATCAATGCTAACATCAAGCATCTTTCGTGTAGTTTATACTTTTCTTTGGAGCTGATCAATGTTAGGTTCCTCCAAGTAAATATTTTGGCAGCTTAAATACATACAACAAGGAAGAGAGGTAATGTGAAGTTCTAACCTACATGGTGATGCAAATCTGAAAGCCTTTAATTATTGGAAACACAAATCTTGCGTGTTGATGTTGTTTTAATTCTCAATGTCTTTATCTTTTTATTCTCTTTTTTTTTTTTTGGTTTTGTTAATGTAACATATCTATCACATTGGTGCCGCTGAGAAAGAGATGTGTTCTAGTATTTCGACTATCAATTGAGGCTTAATTTACAGCGAGTTGTATTAATTTAACTCCCCTTGCTTCTGATTTCCATTTTCAGCATGTCTCAATATTCTCCTTCGACATGTTATTTTTCAATTTCTGAATTTTTCTAAAATGAAGCTATTTTGATTGGTTGTTTTTTTTGTTTGTGAATCTGCTAAGTGGCACTTTAGCATGTGCAACTGATTTTTTAAACCATTGCTTGCTATGTGATGGTGGGTTCCCTTTGCCAAAATATTTTCAAATTGGATTGATAATGTTAAATATTTCTTTAAACGTTACCATCAACTTGAATATGAAATGGTTGAAATTTGTAAAGCAAAATTTGTGGGACATGTTCAAATATTTTCGTGAAGGCTTGCAAGTAAAACAAAATCAAAATGGACTTAAATGAGACAAATTTAGGCTTCGTTTGGGACGGCTTTCTTCCTACTTCTTAAAATGGCTTCCTAGTTAAAAAGTTCAAATTTTTTACTAGAAAGCTGCTTTAAGAAATAATAAGAAAGACGTCCCAAACGAAGCCTTAAAGAACAATATATACCATTCAATGAATATAGAGACCAATTGAAAAAGCACTTTTAAGTGTTGTAAACAAAATAATTAGTTTTACAGATCTTATAAAAAAACCATGATTCATCTTGAGATTCAACAATTATGTGTTTTATTAAAGATATTAGATAAGAGATTAAGAATGACTTAAGTACACTCTAGAAAAATCCCTAAATGAGGCCTTCACCAGATCTTTGAAAATCAAGGCATGCTATGAACAACTTCTCAGTACTACCACACATGTTGATGTGAAACGTAAATGCCATATACTTGCCTAGGACTTGCCTAGGTGGCAAGATTAATTAAAGCCCAAATCAATTTGGGAGAGAGAATGAAAATCTGAAATTAAGGAGTAATAAAACTAATTCAAATTCAAATTTTGAATTTGAATTATCATTAATTGGGAGGATTAAATGATTAATTGATTTAAATCTGAAATTAAATTTCAGATTTAAATTAATGGTATCGGCTTAATTGGAGGGACGAATTAAGGAGTAATTAATGCTAATTCAAATTCAAATTGTCATTAATGTGTGAGCCTCTTCTAATTAAGAAATTTCTTTATTCCAAGGAGGAAGAGAGGGGAGGTGGGGGTTGGTGGGCGTCGGCTAAGGTATGGCTGGCGGGTGAATTTCTGGACGGGCCAACAGGGCCGGCGCAAGGAGAACTTGGGGAGGAAAAGCCCGAGCTTGGTAGAGGATGAGAAGTTTGGGAAATTTGGAATTTCTAACCTCACGCTCTTAAACTTCAAGATCTCAAAGGAGATTGTAGGGATGTCGGAACTCACAACAGAGATCCACGAAACTCTCCTCAAGAACTCACAAAGAGATCTTGAGAATCTCGGAACTCACAAAGAGATCTTGAGAATCTCGGAACTCACAAAGAGATCCGCGAAACCTCCTCAAGAACACAAAAGAGATCTTGGGAAAGGCGGAACTCAAAAGAGATCCTTCTGAACTCACTAAGAGATCAACACGAAAATAAAATTTTTCATTATCAATAATCCATCCTCCAAATACAAAGAGAAGGGCCTTATATATAGGCCCAAGAGAAATTAAAAGACATTCGCCCTTGGGCTTACATAAACAAAGAGGGTAAAATGGAAATTGCAAAACTAAATTAAAATACACTTAATAAACGAAAATAAACAAAGTGATCTCGGTCGTCGATCTTCAGCTCCTCGGATTGGCATGGACGGTTGGATGTCCGCATCACATGTACATAAAATTCCTAATGAGAAATCTTTACCTCCTCTTTTAAAGCCCAACAAACACAAGAATAATGCACAATCAAATTTAATCTTATAAAAAAATTATAGTTCATGAATCATGAATATCTTTTGAAAATGAATCATAAGAAAATTTATTGTCCCCTTTGGATTCTTTTAGTACTGTTGAATCTAAATTTGCACCTGCACTAGAACTTATTTATAAACTTAAATATGTGATCATATCTAAACTTGAAATCTAACAAAATCACCCCTACTATATCTAATAAGCCAATCAATCAAACAAATAAACTACTTCTTGAATAATCATCTTGGAGGATTTTCATTATCTTAATCTCAACGTAAATCATCATGTAGGCCATCCTCATTTAAAATAATCACAGTACTAACACAACTGATCCTTACTCTTTTTAGTTAGGGGTAGATAACACACCAAAGTTTATCAGCAGTTGAGCTATTAAGGTCAGAATGGCAATGATTTTCATCCATCAAATGAATAATCTTCCTCCCTCATTAGCCGATCTCCAAATATATATATATATATATATATATATATATAATAATATATATATTAATTATAAGAAGCCCAGAGCACCCCAACTCAACCTACAATTGGTTCTAAATTCCTCAAAGAATTGAGATTCAAAGTCACCCAGAGTAGACAACTCTAAGGCTTTATATTTCTTGTGTGAAAGGAATAGTTTGAACCATAGCAAGTCTCATGATCTACATCAGCTATCAAAACACCACAAGGAACATTTCAGCAATGCAAAAAGTTTAATATACAATGAAACTTACACAAAACTTATTCTACTTTAAATACTAGCCATAACAGAATGCCTATCCAATTCATGGATGTACAACCTTCCAATAATTACAAGAAGTACAAAAAAGGGGGGTCATTCGCATCCAAAGCAACAAGCACAAAGACTAGTTCTACATTTGTTCGTGTTACACACTATGATTCCGGATAGAAAATTCAATAAATTAACATAGAGACGAAAGTCACCTTAAAGATCCATATTTTATCCCAGAGCTGTTCACCATCATCGTCACCGTCATCGAAAGAGTCGACTTCTTCCTTGAAGTCGCCGTCCCGGATGCCGTCAGACCACCATCTACGCGAACCTCCTTGCCCAAAATCTCCACCCACTTCTCCGCTGCCTGATTCTTCCCGGAACCTGAACCGGCCGGCCCTGACAGACTCAGCGTTTGGGTCCAAGGCAGAGTCCCTGCGCCGGCAGCGACAAAGGAAGTAGCGAGCGTGAACTGGAAACGAAAGTGATGAGAGAGGAGCAGCGGGAGTAGGGCTAGGGTTAGGCTTTGGGCTGAGAAGTAGAGTATGAGCCCACTGAGGAGGGAGTGAGGAGGAGGAGAGAAGGATGCAGGGTATCATAATATCATATCATTTCGCAGTTGAACACTTGCTCCAAAGAAAAACCGAACGAAGATTGGAGAAAAAAGAAAAAGCCAGCCATGGATGGAATAAGATTAGGGGTGTGACACGACCCGAAAGACACCAATTCAATTTAAAAATTTTGGGTTAGGGTAAATTCGGATTCGAATTGGATCGAGTTCGGGTTCAACAAATCGATCCTTTTAAAAAAAAATCGGATCGAATTTGGGTTGATCCAGAAACCCGAAATTGACCAATTTTGACTCGAAAATTTATTTTTGACCTGAAAACCCGATATTGACCCGTTTTGATCCGAAAGTCCGAGGTTGACCCATTTCTTGACCAAAAAACTAGCAATTTTTTGTCGGTCCTGAGTCGTGTCGAGTTGACCCAAACCCGAAGCGAATTGTGTTTGAGTCCAAAAAATCGACCAATTTGCAAAAACAAGTCGGATTTGGGTTGACCCAAATAATACTGTGTCAGTTTCGGATTCGACTTGAAATTGACACCCCTTAATACGATCTGGAGGACGCTAATATGATTTAGAATAGTTTTCTTACTATTTTCTTAAACAATTTTCTATACAGAATTTTAAATTCAATATTTTTTTTCCTAAAAAAAATAATAAAGAGCTGTCACAGATAAAGCCCAAGTCTTAATTATAAACTTATTTGTTTTATTTAAATGCATAAGTGTTAGTTTGTATATGTTCTTAAATAAAAGTTTTACGGACATATCACTCAAATCTGAAACATTATTCTATTTATTTATATAACACCCAATATCTATTTAAGACCTCCTTAAAACAAGTTATTTCATTCTTCACCTCGGCGTTCATTCTTGCTCGAACTCTTTCTTGTGAGCATAATTGGGACACTTTGAATCCCTCAAGGCAGTAGCTGCTGCTGCACACTGATGAGGATGAATGATTTATGATTTGATCTGTTAAATAAGCTACATTTATAGATTTTAATAGAATGCTATACTTTTTTATTTAAAAATTTCTAAAACAAAGTTGTTATTAAATTATTCAAATTGCTCTAAAATGTAATAAGATTATTTTATTACTTCCTTGACGATTAGTAAGATGTAGACAGAAATAGAAAGAAAGCCGCCCCAAACGAAACCTTGTAGTCTGTCGTCGATCATTGTTACCGATAGCAATGGGGGATGACGATTGCACAAAAGTATGGGGCCATGTAAATTAGGGGTTAGGAGTTTATAGAAGAAAATAAGACCCTGCTTGCCTAATTATTTCATGAGTTATTTACAGTCGATACTAATGAAAGTATGGGGCCATGTCGTGATTCATCTCCAATCGAACTCCATTTTGCACGCTTCTGCAAAGGTAACCATCTTTCTCCTCTTTTGCACGTTTCTTAGATAAATCCGGTTGAGACAGAAAAATCGCGACAGAAAAATCGCGTAGGCGAACAGTGCCACGTCAATATTTGGGTCGCACTGTTCACCCTCCACTGATTAGCGATTTATTTGTCGTTCGAATGGAGCAAATCAACTATGCCTTATAGTCGTTTGGAGTTCGGCGGGAGAAGCCCTTGGGGAAAAAAAAAGCTGGATAAAATCTCTTTGTCTTCTCTAAAATATATGAATCAAGATATGCTACTCTAAACTACTATCGCACATAGCAAAATATCAATATTATGGTCCAATTCTCCTGGAAAAAAATAAACAAAATTGGCCTTTAAACTTGCATTTTCTTACACATCTACACTCTTCAAAGTAAATCCAACGGCCATAAACCAATTCGAAGAATTTTTGTCCCCAAAGAGCAAAATTCCTCTACTAATTTAGAATCCTAAGCTAGCTGGGAAAGAATACAATACTCATTTTCCCCACCCTCAATCATACATTTCTATCTTAATGATTCCCACGTAACTCCCATCATAATTGAAGAATAAATGTTGGGACAAAGAGAACAAAGCAAAAGCAAACTCCCAATCTTGAGGACCCACAACTTATTATCTTGTTTTCATGAAATAAGAAAATTAATGGATGACGACAATGTCTCCAGCTTCATCATGAAGTTCTGTAACTTTGATGTAGTTGAAAAAATATTACAATATTAACTCAACTCTAAAACCTCAGAAACATACTTACATCAGTAGAAGATCACTGAAACTTATAGTATTTATCAACTGCCACAAAGACTTCCCAGGTGCAACTGAGTCCCTTAGGAATAACAACAAGATCTCCAGCTCCAAACTCTACAATCTCTGATAATCCCTTTATGTGTGCTCTGACTTTCCCCTTAAGAAAGTAGCATATTTCTTCTGCATCAAACTTCAGATAGTATTTTCCTGGAGGGCAGCCCCATCTGAATACAGAAGTTAGTATGAAGAAACAATAAAGCTCAGATTCAGAAGGAAGAGGACCCTTACTTTGGCCATGATTTAGTTCGAAGCTCTGATAGGCGCGACGGAGATGGGTTCCTTTCTACATGAATTGTGAGGAAGGAAGAATCATGGCTTGAGCCTGTTGCCATGGAGGAGAAGTTATCAAGTTTGTTTAAGCTTTGGATTTTTGGATTCTTCTGGTTAATATAACAGAGATGCGAGGAGGTGCTATGATGGATTTTCTCATATGATGCAAAGTAAAGATTCCATTTATATTTTGGAAAAAATGTCTGAGGTGCTCCTGTTGTATTTCTATGATAAGATAAATTTTAAATACAAGATAATTACCTGGTCCACTACATTTACAATTAATTTAGTATACATCTACTATTTGAACTGTAGTTTTATTTATTTATTTGAAGTACAGAAGAAAATGCAAAAATATATATTGAATATTATTATATGGCAGCTCATGAAAAAGGGGTGAAAAAATTATGATTTTTAGTTATTTAAAATTTATGCAACTTAATTATAGACTAATTAAGATTAGAATATTGATCTCTTGCCTCATTTTATTGTGTGCAGGAATGATCTCGAGAATTAGTGGGGCCACTGTTGACCTCGTTTTTATCACGATTTTCCCTCGAGTGTGTTTGACCGAGCCAATTGGGTCCCGTCAAGCCCAATTTGAGTCAAATCAACGTCAATATAGTTCAAGTCTTGTTCCTTGCAATTCATTTAAGTCCAGGTCCTTTGTTAGTCAAAATTTTAACAGCCTCCCAGCGTCTTCCTTGTTTTAGGAAATTTTGAGGAGCTAGGCCTTACCACCACTCTAAGAAAATTGTGTATAGTAGATGTCTGGCGACACCGTGGTCGTGATTTTTAATCCCATAACGCTAAGAAAAGCGTGTATGAGTCTTTGACGTACTCGTTTGAAATATTTACAGTTTTCCCCACAGGCGTAGAAGCACGTACACGAATACTTAGGAGTGTCCCCACCACGATAAGAAAAGTGTGTATAGGGCCTACCCGCTTTGCCGCAAGAGTCGCACCGGATTCCCTCCCACCACACTAGAAAAAAGTGTATATAGATGATTTTCCAGTGCATCGTGAATGTCGAAAGCGAGATTTGAAGGTTTTAAGTTTAGAAGTGATTTATACCTTGCGCAGGACGACAATGTCAATGATGATGAGGTGGCGAAAATGTTGAGGGCATGAGGATTGAGTCACAAAAGCACAAATTTTTTCTCTCTTTTTTATTTTGCTCTTTTTTAAAAAAAAAAAAATCTCTCTCCTCTCTCTTTTTTTTTCTCTTTTTTTTATCTTTTCCCTCTTCTTCTTTTTTATAATAATAATAATAATAAAAGTAAAGGTATAGAGAGAGCTTAGAGAAATTTAGAGAGAGAGATCTCTCTCTCTCTCTCTCTCTCTCTCTCTCTATTAAGGTGCTGCTGAAGATTGAGTTAGGAGGTGTTAAGTGGGTAAATCGGGTTGGGAAAGCTATTTGAGTGAGGTTGGTGGGCTTTTAAAGTGGGCTGAGTTGAGTGGGGTTTGGGCTATGGGACAAACAGATCTTTGAGTGATTAAACGGCTGTGAAGGTGAATTCGGGCAGGGGCGAGCAATTGGCTTGGTACGGGCAAGCGTGAGCATAGTTGTCAATGGCGTAAAATAGCGCGGGCCATGGCGCACAGGACGGCGCGGCGCACCTACACGTCATGTTCATGACAAGACGCATGTGTTTAAAATAGCGCGCGCTATTTGTGCCACATGTGAGCCATGGTACATGACGGCACAGCGCAAAAATGAGAGATGTCATACCCCATTCAACCTTATTCATAGTGACATCTGAGAACCCTAAAAAATAACTAACATCTTAGGGGCCCGATGATTTGTATCATTAATTGATGATTGCACTCAAATCTCTTGGATCTTTTGCCTAAAAAACAAATCCGATGTTCGCCCTATCCTCCCCATTTTTCACACTATGATCTAGAACTAATTTGGGGTAAAAAAAAGGAGATTTCGTTCTAACAATGTCAAAGATTACTTTAACCAAATCATATCTTCTTACTTTTAAAAGGAATGTATCATTAATGAGTCTTCTTACACTCATATCCCACAATAAAATGGAGTTGTGAAAAAAAATGGTCACCTTCTTGTTTCCACCCATGCACTTCTATTCCACTACAATGTACTCAAATCCTATTGGGGGAAAGCCCTTCTATCAAATATCTCATAAACCGACTACCTTCGAAAACTTTGGGACTAAAAAACACCAATAAATATTATATCCATTTTTTACCCTGAATTTCGAACCTATAACAACCTCATACCTAGAATCTTTGGGTGCACTGCCTATGTTCACGTTTACAGCCAAAAAAGAGGAAAACTATATCCAAGAGCATTCATATGTATCTTTGTCGGATATTCATCCATCCAGAGAGATTGCAAGTGTTAACACCCCCCCCCCCAAACCAAGAAAACCCTGTTAATCTTACTTTTAATGAAAAAAAATTCTATTTCAGCAAACCTCATCTTTAGGCGGAGACTGTAATTGAGGAAGAAGAGAAAAGTGAGCTTGTCTCTCTTGGCCTTCCAACTCCATCTCAAACCAATACACCTAAACCTGAAATCAAAACCAGGGACACTGAGAACAAAGCTATTATGGAAATATATTCTAGGCGTACAAATTCAAACTATGCTCTAGAGCATATCCAAGAATCTGAACCATCTCTTGAAATCGAGCTAAATACAAATTCACAAAAAAACCTCCCGTGAACTCCATAACCAACTTTGTATCATTCCATAACTTCTCACATTCACACAAAAAATTCCTGACTTTATTAAATGATATTCATATTCCTAATAATATTTTTGAGGACTTATCTGATGAAATTGGAGAAGTACCATGAAAGATAAAATGCAGGCCCTAGAGAAGAACAATACATACTTTCAAGGAGAATAACAATACCTAGAATATCACCGACTTGCCAGTAGGAAAAAAATCAATCGACTATAAATGGATGTTATTTGTGAAATACAAAGCTTATGATAAACTAGAAAGATATAAGGCAAGACTGGTAGCAAAAGAGTACACTCAGATGTACGACATTAACTACTAAGAAATTTTTGCACCTGCGGCCAAGATGAACACTGAAGATCATGCTCTCACTAGCATTTAATTATAACTGGCATATGGAATAGCTGGATGTCAAAAAAAATATTCCTACATGGGGATTTAGAGGAAGAAATATTTATGAATATCCCACCATGACTCAAGAAAAAATATGGGGGTGACAAATGTATAGGTTAAAAAGGGCTCTATATGGGCTAAAATAGTCTCTAGAGCTTGATTGGGAATATTTTCAAAAGTCAAGCGAATTAATGGATATCGACAGAGTCAAGAGAATCATACATTATTCTTCAAGCACACGGACTCAAGGGAAGTCACGATTTTATTAGTTTATATAGATGATATCATATTGGCTGAAAATGATGAAAATGAGAAAGCAATTCTAAGAAAATGTCTTGCCAAGAAATTTGAGATCAAAGAACTTGATAAATTAAAATTTTTTCTTAGAATTGAAGTAGTCCACTCTAACAGAAGAATCTCCATTTCACAACAGAAATATATTAATGATCTTCTAAAAGAAAGAAATAAACTAGCTTGTAAACCAGCATTAACACCAGTAGAATCAAATCTCAAATTGGGGGAAGCTAAAGAGGATCCAGACATAGATAAGGGAGCTTAACAAAGATGTGTGGAAAAATTGATCTACTTTTCTCACACAAGATCATATATAGCCTTTGTTGTAAGCATGGTCAACCATTTCATGCAAAATCCAAATAAGAGTCACATGGAAACTATAGACCGAATACTGTATTACCTTAAAGGGAATCTAGGTAAAGGAATTCTCTTCAGAAAAAGCTGTGGAGTAACCTAAAAAGCATATACTGATGCAGAATATGGAGGATCACTAGTAGATAAACAATCTACCTCATGATACTGCACATTCCTTGGAAGAAATCTTATTATATGGAGGAGCAAAAAATATAATTTGGTGGCAATGTCTAGTGCAGAAGTAGAGTTCAGACTACAGCCTTGTGAATATGTGAGCTACTATGAATCATGATGATTTTAGAAGATCTAAGAATCAAGTATTTGTTCATATATTAAAAATAAAGGGGATGCATAAGAATGTGCGAATTATAGAGGAATTAAATTCATATGTCATACATTAAAATTATGAAAGAGAATAATTGAGCATCTGTTACGATGTGATGCTAATGCAAAATCAGTTTGGATTCATGCCTGTTAAGTCTACTACTATGGAAGTCATATATTTATTGAGAGATTCAATAGAAAAATATAGAGTAAGTAGAATTTACATATGATATTTATTGATTTAGAAAAAGCAAAAAGCATATGATAAAGTTTCAAGAAAAGTGTTCTAAAAAATTCTGGAAAAAAAGAGAGTTAATAATTATTATATTAAGTCATTAAGAATATATATACATGATCCTTGTGTTGAAATACAAGGTGGTTTGACCAAGTATGTTCCTATTTTAGTTAGATTACATCAAGGATCAACGTTAAGCTCATATATTTTTGCTTTAGTGTCCGTTCTTGCTATACATCTGCAAGAGGATGTACCTTGGTGTGTGCCTTTTTCTGATGATATTCTTCTTGTTGATAAGACTAGAGAGGGGTTTGATTAAAAACTTGAATTATGGAGGTCAACCTTAGAGTCTAAAAGTTTTCATTTGAGTAGATCTAAAATCAAATACATGGAGTGATTTTAGTAGTAATAGATCTAGGGGTGGGATTGTGACATTAAGTGATCAAGTCATTAAGAAGAGTGCTCATTCTAGACATCTCGAGTCTATTATTCAAAGTGATGGTGAAATATATGAGAATATTATTAGTAGAATTCAAGTTGGATAGTTGAAGTGCAGTAATACATTGGGTCTATTGTGTGATAGAAAAGTGACCCTCAAACTTAAGCGAAAATTTTATAAAATAGTAGTGAGATCTGCAATGCTTCATGGCGCTGAATTTTGGCCATTAAAATAAGAGTATAAAATTAAGTTAAGTGATGTAAAGATGAGGATGCTCAGGTGCATCAATGGCTTTACACTTAGAGATAGAATGTAAAATGAGTATATATATGAAAAGATTGGAGTAACTCTAATGGTAAATAAGATTAGAGAGTGTTGTCTTAGATGATTTGATCAAATAAAACATCACCTTTTGATGAGTTTGATAGGATAGTAGATGTATTAGAGTCAGAATATTTTAAGAAAGATAGAGATAGGCCTAATAAAATATTAAAAGTAACATTTTTTATTAGATTAAATGAGAGTTTGACTCTTAATATGACACAATGAAGCAAAAAAGATTCATTTAGTCGACCCCATGTAGTGAGATAAAAGCTTGTTGCTATTGTTGTTGTAGCAATCAAATATAATAAGGTTTAGTGCTATGCATGATCAAGTTGATTGATAAACTAGCTTCCTTCTGTTGAAGTGTTAAGTTCAAAATAAATGGAAATATGTGGCAAAGGACATCAACTAAACCTTAGAAATCAACCAGGATTTAAAACCCAATCGAGCAGCACAAGTTAGGGCATTCCCTGTATTGCCACCACTTTCTACCTACAATTGTAAATAATAAAAAATAAAGATTAAAGTGTTGATATATGGCATAAATGAAGACAAACTTCCATAAAATTTGAATTTCAGAACAAGAAGATGCTAAAAATGCACTAGACAAGCCCCTGAGGAAGATGAGTTTAAAACGTAAGAGAATAAACATGCTCAGGTATTGCAAAACAAATAAGATGATATGGAAATAATTAATATGTTGCACAAACAAAAGATAAATGCAGGAACATTCAATTCAAAGTACCTATTTCCTTATGTAAAACAGAAGGATAGTAAATTGTTCTTGGGATAAATAAAATAAATGATGAGCAGAGGAAAGCTGGGTACTGCAACAATCTGGAAGGCTAATTTTCAAACTTAGTTCAATTTCCCGCCACATTAATGATTTGAACACTTAGAAATTCCAAAAGAAACTGCAAGCATATTCTACTAAAAAATTCCAATTTAACTGGAGCTTAATCATAATTTGATAATCAGCAACTCCAATAATAAAAAAATGAGATTTTAGGCATGCATGGATTAAGAGAAATCTAAGAAGAAAGAATAAGAGTAATAACTCCGATTGAACAATGATTCCAATTAAAGAAGGTAGCTGCACCAGACATAGAATAATGACAAAAAAGAACAATGATAAAGAATTCCTTCTATAGCATTCAATATTGAAGTTTTTATACAATCTAAATAAAATTATTTTAACCTAAAAGATTTCAAAGATAATTTGTTCATGAGCCGGACCATTTGTACTATCAACTAACACAAACACCGCGAAATCTAACTTCACATGCAGTGCATAATGTGCTATGATTGTATGCATGATATGTAAGAATCTAGGATTAAAAAAAATAATAATAATAATAAAAAAATTCTAAGAATCTAGGATTTCTAATACAACTAAACAATGCAATAGATGAAATTCAAACGAAATGAATTTGAAATATGTAGATTAAAAGACTACTAGTTAAAAGAAGCACTTACCTTCATTTTTTTTAAACAATAAAATACGAATAATGCACGTCAAACAATGATTTATCAATTGTCTAAATTAAAGAATTTCAACAAAAACAAAAAAACAAAAACAAAAAAAAACAAAAAAAAAAAAAAACAAAATCAATGGTAACCATTGAGTCAATATCTTTGTATATTTGTTATGGAGATGCTTATAATGAACATTCAAAGTGAGGCGATTAGTTGTATGCTTTTTATAGATGATACAGTTCTAATTACTGAACAATTCAGCAAAATAAGTGAATAATTAAAGGTATTAAAAATTTGAGAAATACAATTATATAAAATTTTGGTGAGTATGATATTAAAAATTGCTACTCTATAATATAAGACGATAAGGTGGTTCCTGGATATTATAGGTTTAAATATCTTGGATGTATTATATAGAAGAATGGAATTATAAATAAGGATATAACTTTTAGAGTTAAGCCTAAATAATTAAAATAGAGAATTATCTTGGTAATTTGTGTGATTAGGATATCATAGAGGCTTAAAAGAAAATTTTCTATAATTTCAACTAAGCCAGTAATGTTGTATGGATTTGAATGTTAGGCTATAAGAAATTAATTAATATCTAAGTTGAGTATAGAAAAATGATTGTGGCAAACTATTAAAGATAAATTAAATAATAGTTATAATAGAATAAATGTTGGACTGACATCTATTGAAGATAAGACGATTGAAAAAAGACTTAAATGATTTGCAAATGTATAATAAATGATTAAATCATATATGTTTACAAAATAAGTGCCAAAGAATTAAGAAATAAATGAATAAACCTACAATTATATGGATATAAGTTGTTTAAAATGATATGCAGATAAAATTTTTAACACTTGAATGGATATTGATTATTAGCTTGAAATAGTCAATAACCTTTCGAGAAAATGACCAAAATGGTTTATTGACTCTTTATGAATGACAAAATTGATCTTCAACTATATTAAATGATCATTTTTATCCCTCAAGTCTTTAAAAAAAATCAAAACATTATGGGACTATTTTGATTCTTCTTTGAGGAGTTGAGGGACCAAAATTATCTTTTAATATAGTTGGGGATCATTTTGCTCCATAAAAATTAAATGGACCATTTTGCTTCTTTTCTCATATCCCTTCAAACATTTGATTGTTAGCTTAAAACAGTAACTTCTAACACTTGGATGATTCCATGATATTTCAACATCGACAAATAGAACTCCCCAAGCTCCAACACCATAATCCAGCTCCCCCAAGACTTGGTAACAATCAAATAACAAATTTTACCTTGCCATTTGATAAAAGCCAATTCCCATTCACAGTAGCTCGAATAAGAAATGAAAAAAAAATGCAGTAGATTCAGTAATTCACCTTCACCTAAGCAATAAAGAAGACAACGATAAACTCATAACCATCCAACCAACAATTCCACCAAACACAACAAGTTAAAAACAAAAAACCAATTTCTTTTCTGATAAAAGCAAGCATAGTTCACAAAGACCCCTTGTCAGAACACCAAATCCAGTTAAATTCAATGTAACCCTAGTTTCAACGAGAAGGAGTATTACTTTCAGACTAGTGCTCCGGATCTTATCATCTGGTTTAGGAAACGCCACCACCGTCGCCAGGTAATCAACAGACAAAGAGCCGCACCCGAGCTGGCAATACAAACAGCAGAAAAAAAATATAGAAACTGAAAAGGAGTAATCGAACCAATAAATCACCAAAATTGATACGAAGGAAAACTCACCACCACCCGGTTCTGTTGAAGAGGAGGTAGAACACTCTCAGCTTGTGAGGACGATAAGAACGACATCTCCGCCGTGAAATATCGATTTATGAAGATAGAAGCGAGGGAGGGAGGGAGAGAGAGGGCATTGTGTTGCGAAAGAACTTGGCGAGCAGTTTAGAAGAGGGGAACTGTGCATTCTGCATTTTTGCTTTTCTTTCTTCCTGTACTTATTGTTGGTAAATTTTTTAGCGTCATATGACATATCTCTTATATTTTTATCTCATCAAATATACTTCAAAATATTTTGGATTTGATTTTATCAAAGAGGTTGATCATTTTTAAAATAGTTTTTCAATATATAAATTTTTAGTTCAAATAAATTTTGAATTAAAAAAACTACTTTAAAAATCAGTAAAAAAAACTCTCTCAAACGAAACCAAAGCCATTCAAGCTCCCTCAATGTAAAATTATTCTGTCAGGTTACCTGACGTAGAGATACATCAGGTAGCATATAATACGTCGCCACGTGCACTTATTCTTTGACGCGGCCCGACGACTCGACGACCCGACTCAGACGAATCCGGGATTACTATGTTCACGTATTGCTCGGTATTTGCTCGGTATTGCTAGGTATTACTCAGTATTGCTTGGCAATAATGATAAGTATCGTTCTGTAAAGACCAATACCAAGCAATACCGAGTAATACCTAAAAGAACTTGGTATTAATACCGAGTAATACCTAAAAGAACTTGATATTGCTCGGTATTTGTCTTCACATAATAGTATTTTTCGTTTTTGTCGAGCAAAATGGATCAATACCTTGCAATACCAAGCTACGCCAACTCCCGGGTCCGCTCCAGGTCGGGTCGTCGGGCCGAGCGGTAAAGAGTAAGTGCACGTGCTGACGTATTATAGGCTACCTGATGTATCTCTACATCAGGTAACCTGACGGAATAATTTTTCCATAAAAATAGATTATCTTGACCTTCTTTGATCGTTTATCAAAACCACTTTTAAAAATGAGATTGACCAAACCAATTTCAATCACCTAACCTACTGAATCAAGGTCAATTAATTCTAATTTTTTCAAGAGAGGGCTCTCAATTAGCTTCAATCACTTATTGACATCAGGCCAATTGTCATGTGTCAGTGCTACCATCCATATCTAAGTTATCAACATTGCCAAGTTCCTTCACTTTTATCGTTATAGCATTTGTTTCAAATCTGTTGTGATGTCATGAACAATAATACTTTTAAGAAAATATGTAGAACAAGCTGATGCTTGGCCCCATCGTGTTAAGGATTTCATTATAGTTTTAAAATTAAAATTCTAGTAATTATTTTTAAATAACATCAGTAGTTTTATCCAATGATTTAGAGTTTGTTCGGATAGGGGCGGATCCAGTTTCTTTTTTCACAGTGGGCAAAAAAGAAAATTTTGGTGGGAGATTGACAAAGACACTTAGGATTGATAAAATGAGAACAAAAATTTTTTTTGAGAGGGGGCAAAATGCCCAAAATACCCAAAATATTTCAAAATATCATCTCTTTTTTCTTTTTTTTTTTTCTTTTTTTTGAGGGTGGGCATTTGCCCCCCTCAATATAATGTGGATCCGCCCATGTGTTCGGGATAGGCGCAGTTTTTAATAAACGTGGTTGTAAATTTTTTATAGAAAAAATAATTTTTTTGAAAGCTATTAGGAAAAGTAGCCTCCTAGCACAAAATTTTTTTTTTCAAATAATAACAAAAAGAAGCCAAACTAAAACTAAAATTGAGAAAAGTAAAATAATAATAAAAATATCTCAAACGAACCACTTTCTCATGTTTCTTTATGATATTGAGATTATGGATTACTACTCCTCTCTTTTGGTTGTTCATATTATATGATCCACTTATTTGTCGTTTATACTTTGATAAATATAAGTTATTTGCTAAGTTTGATTTATCTAACTCATCTGTTATCTTTTTCAGTAGGTCCTGTAGGTGTGTTTGATGAACCGCCACCTCAGAAACAAGGTTATTAGCAGTAGACAGTTTTTAGTATTTATTACTTTGTAGTAGTTTATTATGCTTGTGATTCTGAGAGATGGGTGGTTTCTTTCTTATTTTTTGCTCTATATATATATCATGCTTCTCTTTGTGAGTATGAAACATGTCTTTATATCTCTTCATCGTGTCCCGTATTATCGAGTGTATCGCCTTTAAAACCTGGGGAGTGACAATATTTGTTGCATTTTTTATATCTAATTATAATCTAATACTGTTATGTAATTGAAAACAATACATTTAATTATTATATGATATATAATTATTGTTGTGTTAAAAATTTACAGCGTCAAAGTATTTAATATCATAATTTTATACCAATCTTCAGCCCTCGTAGATTTGCGTGAAAATTTTAGAAAGAGAAAAGATCAATGGATTTGACTTAGTTGAATGTATCAATTAAGGCTTCGTTTGGGGCGTCTTTTTTTCTGCTTCATAAAGCTGCTTTCTAGTACAAAATTAAAATTTTTATGCTAGAAAGCCGCTTTAAGAAGCAGTAAAAAAACAGTCCCAAACATAACCTAAATAAAGAAAGATGGAATAGTAATCACTTCCTCATAATTGAAAGGATGAGATTATACACTATTGACAACAATTGTTTGATTCTTGTTATATGGATAATAAAAATTGGGTATTTATAAGTGGACAATTAAAGTACAACAATAAGGTTAAATGTTAATAATCAAGTGATAATAGTTAGGCGAAAGTTTGATGATGGTGGAAATGCTTCATGGCCATTAGTGGTGATCGTCAGCAAATGCAGTAGAGTTCTTTAGCTATCTAAGCTCTCAAACTTTCTTTCTCGTAGAAAATAAAGCCCTATTTAGAGCCTTTTCGAGAGTTTATTTGGTAAATTTAATTAAAATCCAAAGCACCCTGTTGCGTCCTGGAATATTGACTGTAAGCTCGCTGAAATCGGAGTTCAGGTGCTCCCGGATTTAATTTTTGAAGTTTCCAACTTGATTTTTGCCTCAAGATTCGTGCCCGATCAAGTTAATTTTCGCATGACGTATCACACCCTATCGAGTGGTCCATATTAATTGCTCTAATAATAAATCATTTATTAACATTTGAGTACATTATTGATGTCATAATCAAACGATCTTGGGTTTGTTGGATTTGTCTCGTCAAGCTACTTGATTTGACTACAAACACATAAGATTTGGAAATTATTTAATACTTCAATTAATTCTCTAAAGCTTTCATACATATTTTAATTGATTTTTAGCTCATTTAGACTCAAATTTGCTCACTTATGGTGTCGATGGATTCGTCTGATTGATACGTTCAATTTGCCTAAAGTTTGTTGAAATTGAAGTTCAAATGATCATGAATTTTTAATGTAAACAACCACGGGATTTATGCTCACATTAAATAACTGAGAAATGAATAGCTAACTATCATGTCAATAATAATCATACTTAAATAAACTAATAATTATTGGCCAAAAAGGTCTAAATAAATAAATAAAAAAAGGACGCGGAAACAAAAACATGAAACTGCTCCATACAAAACGAGAATGAGGAAAAAGAAAAATCAATTGCAGAAGCAAAACCCAACAGAAGGGAAGAAGGTGGGAGGAGTTAAATCCACAGGGCTCAGATTGCAGTCAAACGAAACCAGCATCGGAGAAGGCTTTTGGTCAGTAGAAAGAGAACAACGGTTGCCACAAGAAGGGCCTTCCGAGCTCGGGGTGAGTTGGATATTACTCTAGCATTCATCATCATCCAAATTATGGGTGCAAATGAGTCAAGTCGATCTCGAGTCAGGGGTTGAGCTCGACTGTCAAATACCGAGCTCGAGCTTGAGCTCGAACTCGAGTCAAGCTCAAAAGAGGAGCTAGAAATCAACTCATCTCATGTCGAGCGGCTTGTCGAGCTCCGTCCCGAGCTCCATCATCGAGCTCCGTCCCAAGTAGGTTAGCAGCACGTGAGCTCTCCGTCATCCCGAACTATGTCGTTGAGCTCCATCGTCATGACCACTGTCGTCCCGAGCTTCGTCGTTGAGCAACACGTGAGCTCTATCGTTTTGGTTTTCCTGTCTGACCTTCGATTTGTCCTCCCGCCCGCCCAAATCGAGATTTTGTTTTCCCGCCCGGTCACCTCCGCGAGTTGCTCGACGAGATGACGAGTTGAGCAGAAGTCTGTTCGAGCTCGAAATCGTGTTTGAGCTCGATAAGCTCGACTCGTCAAGCCTATTACCAAGTTGACTCTGAGCCGGCTCACGAATCAGATTAACTCGATTGCACCCCTAATCCAAATATCCGAATCGAAGCAACCAAAGACAGGATTCCAGGAATTCATCCAGACCACATAATAAGCAGACAGATCAAAAAAAAAAAAAACTCGGAAAAGCCATCAACCACACGAAAAGCTAGCAGGATAAAGACGGTCCCATCACAAGCATGGTGGAACCATATAATTCTTACGGGGTAATTGCCCCTCAAAAAAAAAAAATTATAAGAGAGTAAATTAATTTTTTTTTTTTTTGTATAGTAGAGTAAGAAAATTTTTTTACCTCTCCTAAAAAATTACTTTTGCCCCCCTGAAATAATTTTTTTTATTATTTTTAAAAATTTTTCATCATAAAAATTTTTATTTAAAACATTACCTTAAAATTAGTTCTCTAACGGATACGGACGCTATTTACAGAGGATCAGAAGGCTCACATCACCCTACGACCTACGTTTAGTTGTATACGTATCACGTCACTCCATACTGTTATACCACGATTGTAAAAGTTAACCGTTTTTTATTTGTACTGAATCGGATGTATATGTTTTTGATATCACTTTCGATACAGTTCGATATCAGGCATTTATAATTTCTAACGCCTTCTTTAAAAAACATAAAAAATGAAGATAGAAAGGCAAAGATATGGCCAAAACATAAGAAACATAACAACAATGTCGCCATGGCCGCGCGTCATTCATCTTGCGTGGCCTGTGAAATTTCCTAAATTATCAACGGAACAACCCCTTTTTTTTTATGTTAGGCACTACAGCTGTTTGCAGCCTTCAGTCAGAGCCTAGCCTGTGACCAAATTAATGGGCCTGTCTCCATTGTTGACTTTTTATGAAGGAATATATTTTCGTGTCTTGTTTTGCCAAATAAATTATTTCTAATGAAACCGACAATTCAATTATCTTAATGTTTTTTTTTTTTTAGAATAATTAATTCAAAAAAAATAAAAGGAACTTAAAATTAAATGCCTGTGGAAGCAAGTGATAAATGGCAACTTCATCCAAAATGAATCAATTCCGATCAAAATCGTACAATTTTGAACCCTAAAATGGAAGCGAGAGGTACGGTTTCACCAAGGAAAATTCATAGGCCGCCAAAAAAAGGAAAACACAGCAGGGGAAAAGGAAGGGGACCCCAACGGAATTACCTAGTAACTCATACCCTGCTGACCTTAGCATCGCATACTCTCGAGGCAACTGATCCAATCAACAAGCCTCAGAAACGATCGCGTACGAACGATATCCGGCGACCTCGATCCCGCTATCGAGCTGATGAAATCGAGGGTTCCAAAGAAAAAAATTAGTCAATATGAAATAAATATCATTAAGAAAATTTAAAAATATAATTTTCTTCTTTGTTTAATAAGAAAATAATAATAATTCCATAACCAAGTTATGTGCCACTCTTTCCCTAGGTCCCCTATGGATTTACATTGATTTAGACCCACAACAAACTACTCTCAGTTGTGGATTAGTATTCTTACAAATGCCCGAATGTCATCCCGAACAGCCAGTGGAATACCGCCACATACCATGTGACTCTAGGCTATGGTGGTCGCCTATTACGCGGATTACAGCTGACGATGGATATTGTTGTGCACTCCTGGCTTGATCCTGGATGAATAATATGTCTGCATGCCGAATCTCGCCGCGAAGTAATTTCTCTCAGTATTTGAGAGATGCGCTTCAAATCATAAGCATAAAATTTGTTGTATATTCTAATACTTATTTTTTTATATTTTTTTATATGCTTTAGTTTCTTTAAATACATTAAACAAATATATTGAAAGGTGTCTTTTACTTACAAAATTAATATTATATTTATATTTAATTTAAAATTTAAAGAGTATTTCTATATAAATGAATAGCAAAATATATGAGATTAGATATGTAATAATATAAAAGAATCATATTATATATTATGATATTGTAAGTTTAAAATCCCAGCTAATGTGATATGAGCACATGCAGAAAGGCCTCCAATACATAGTATATATGCCTCAGAAAATATGTAATGCACCAATAAGGCTATCCAAAAGATAGACATGTTGCAAACAGCCAAAATAAAACTAAAAAAAAAAATAAATTCTATATATAGACTCCCGGTATGACGACATTTTTCATATTTGATTATGTTTTCTATTTAATTAAAATTTTAGAGATTATATTTAATTGTTATTAGATCTTCTTATTTTATAATGATCGTCCAGATTTTATTAAATAAGCTATGTATCTTATTGCTCCAAATATTCTTGTTTTTATTTTTTCACCTAGTGCCCAATTTCCAATATAAAAACGAGGAAATACAATAAGATAAAACTTGAAATTTACAATTTAAATTTTCTCCCGTATATATTAACTCATAGAGAGAAGCCATATCAGTTTTTCATGGAATTTGAGATATTTGGTTTCTCTTGTGATCAGAGTGCGTGAGCCAGCTCTTAATTTTTGAGAAGCACATAATACAGACATAAAAATAATTAAATTTAAAAAAATAATATCTATCTATACTATAATATTATGGAATTTTTTTAAAAATTAAGTAAGAAAATTAAAGAAAAAAAAGATATCAATGGAAAATATATAAGATATCTTATGGACAATAAGGACAAAAGAGTTTTAGAGGGGGC